CCCAAACAGGGCCTTCCACACAGGCCCCTTGACGAAGAGCAGGATGTTAATCACCTTGGTCTCCCGCTTGCCGTTCTTCTCCCGCATTACCAGCACATCCAGGATGCGGGCGCCCACCTGCTGGCCCAGCTCTGAGAGCTTGTTCTGGAGCTCAGAGACTGAGTAGACCCGGTTCTGGCAGTACTGGACAATCTCAGAGAAGAGCAGAGAGAAAGCACTTAGGCTCACCTCTGTCTTGGGGCGGGTCAGGGAGCGCTCCAAGATGGCCGACTTCCCACGGGTGAAGCGCGAGTCCATGGTCCTGAAGGTGGGGGGAAAAGAAGACTGAATAACCATATTTTCTGGCATACAACATGCCTCCAACCCCCCCCCAAAAAAACCCCCCAAAAAACCAAAACCATGCATTTTGCTTTGTTCTGTCTTCCGTAGGATGTTTTTTCCAGAGTCATGGCAGAGAGCCAACCACAACCGTAGTTCCCCTGCTTTACCTGTTGCAGGTTTGGCATGAGGTCTTGTGTTGTGTCAGAGTTCATAGTAGTTTTACACAGAGTTTAGATTATGGATTGTCTGGGACAGTTTAGATAGGGCTAATCCTGCCTCAGGAGGGTGTTAGACTAGATGACTGCTGGAGGTCCCTTCCAGCCCAGCATGGCCACCTAACTCCACTCTCACCAAGGCACCAGGCCTTGCACTGGACACAGATGCCTGCTGTGCTGCCACATCAATACAGAGCATATCATCACCAGCCAAATAACGCAGATTATAACATCCAAGGCAGGAAAGACTTGCAGCTGAGCTGCCAAAAGGTACTGCCAATTTGGCAGGGGCTGTGGGGAGGCACTTGTAACTCCACTAATGTCCTATTACAGTGCCCTTCTGCTGTGTGCATGGACAGACAGATCCCTCTGTGAGAGAACCAAAAGACACCTCAGCTTCAGAAAGACATGCAGACATTTCACCTCCCCAGACATCCCATTGTAGAGCTGAAGGGGGCTGTTCTCAGGCAGCAAATTTTGAGAAAAACAAATTTGAAAGGGAAATTGCTGCACAACAAATCATCCATGGACTGGACTGTGTATAGTTCAAGCAGGGATTGTGGAACCTTATCCCATTACCTGCATTGGCTTTGGTACCTCCTTTGGGTGCTTATACATGTGCTCTGATGTGTTCTAATTAGAAACTGTCCGAGCAGACTCAATTAATCAAGTCTGCTGGAGGTTCTAATTGGAATGCTCCAGCATGCTGCAACCTCACATGTATTCAGTGCTCCCCATTTCAAAGTGGCAACAGGGGCACTTTAATTAAACTCATCAAATAAGCTTTAAAGTGCCCCTGTGGCCATTTCGAATTGCAAGATGCTGAATACATGCAATGCTGTGATGTTTTAATTAGAGCAGCCATCCAGGAGCTGCTCTAATAACAATGCACCCCTCTACACCAGAGTACATGTATAGACAGCCTTGTTCCTGTAGATTTATTGCTCGTCTCTCCTGGCACTGCCCCTCACCCATCTCTCTCTCTTCTGTCCCCCCTGCCAGCTCATCTTTTCTATTTTAATTTCTCTCTCCTCCTTGCACTCTGCTTTCTGCAGGTCCTTTCACAGCAAATTTCAGCCCACGAAAGCTTGTGATCTCTGTATTTATCTCTATCCACTTTGGCTGGCCTATAAAATGCAGATCTACCCCGTCTGCTCGATGGTATAAGAATCTGTAGCCCCTGTTCAAACCATAAACACAGACCATCAGCCTCCCCCTGTCTTTTGTATTCAAAACTGGCTCAAGCAAATGCCACCCATATCAAAACCATGTTTATATGGCACCAGCTTCATTGATACGTCATAAGGATGCCTGACCACTGGCTCTAGAAAGAGGCTCTCTGCTCCCAACTTGCCCTGGTCACTGCTCTACAGTGATGATTATCAGCCTTTCTAGACTCCAGCCCCACCCCCTTCAAAAATCACCAGCACTTCATGTTCACTTGCATTTTGAATAAGAAAACTACTAGAGCCGTTCTGGTTTGTGACACTGCAGATTCCTATTTGATCTTGTGAATCGCCTCAGGCTGCTCACAGGGCTGTGCCCAGGAAAGGATCTCAAGGCCCCTGGGGGAGCATGGGGTGGGGGAGCCGCATCCTTAGGTGAGAATCACTGGCTTAAATGGCAGCTGCGCTGGGCCAGACCCACTGGGGGCTCTGGGGAGGTCTTGCTCCACACCTTCAGCCTCCCCCAAGCAAAGCCTGCGTGTGGCAAGTGGGGGCGGGGATCCTGTGCGCCTGGCGTGGGTGCAGCCAGGGCTGGGGAAGGGGCCTGCCGGGACCTGCTAAAGAGTCCTGCAAGGAGGCAGTGGCAGCCGCTGGAGGGGCGCTCCGGGGAGCAACAACAAGGAGCAGGGAGCACCCAGAGGGGCCGGAGACCCTAACACTGCCCACGTCCCTGCCCCGCCGACCCCTTCATCCCCATGACTCTCCCAGGCATCTACCACCCCCGCGTGGCCCCTCCCCCGCCAGGCCACCTCATGACCGGGCCCACGTGACCCTTCCACCCCCCGTGGAACCCTGCGACCCCAATGACCCCTGACCTCGCCTCGCACCCCCAGCCCCATACGACCCCGCCTCCTCTCCGGGCACTCACGAGCGCGGGCAGCAGCAACCGCGTTCCCAGACCCCCAGCGCCGCCGCCGCCCCCCACAGCCGCCACTTCCGGGCCCCTCCGTACTTTACGGCCGCCGCTGCCGCAAATCCGCCGAACGCAGGGCGGCCGCCTGGTCGCCATGGTAACAGGAAGGCGGCCGGGGACCACGTGACACCAGGCAGGGCGGGGAGGGGGCGAGGCTTGGAGAGGAGAGCCCGCCTGGGCGGGGCTTAGGGGATGCTGGGTGTGCCTTGGTTAAGGGGCGGGGCTCTGGGGGGGTCCCTACATGGCAAGTAGGGCACCGTGGCTATTTAAATGTCTCAGAGATGAGACGACCCAGTGGATAACTGATCCGCGCCGTGGCAGCGCAGCCTGGGTTCCTCGCGGCCCTTGGACGGTGGGGGGAGGGGCTGGGCGCTTGGGTTCCATCCCGGCTCTGGCGTCAAGCGGCCCCAGTTGCGGGGTCAGGGCTGGATTCGGGATGCCTGGGTTCCCGGCCCAGCTCGGAGGCGCGTGCAGTCTGGCGCGCCAAGGGCCTGCAGGGCGGCACATCCGGGCGCCTGGGTTCCAGCCCTCAGCCTGCAGGGTGGACTGCTCAGCTGCGGGTCATTGCGCCCTCGGACTCCTGGGTTTCCTTCGCAGCTCTGGCTCCACCTTTGCCTGCCAGGCTTCAGGCCCCATCTTCCCCCAGCTCAACTCCAGGGAATCCTCCTCCACAGTTTCCATGGCAACAGCTCTTCCCACTGCACCACCCCGCTGCCCAGCAACCACAGTTTCCATGGCAACCGCCCTCCCCCCTGCCCCAGCCTGTTCCCCAGACTGGAATGGGCAGCATGTGATGGGGTGGCCAGCGCTAAGGTTTGGGACCCAGGCGTCAGGGCTCCCAGCTCTGCCTGCAGTAAACAGCAGGCCCCAGGCTCCTCTCAGCCCTGGGAATGCGAACCTCGGGGTCCAGGCTCCCAGCAGCCCACCCTACACCGCTGTAACCTCTTGACCCTACTGTCCTCCCAAAGCAGGGAGAGAACCCAGGCATCCGGGCTCCCAGCCTCCTGCCCTAACCCCAGAGCCTCCCGTCCCCTCCCAAGGCAAGGAGAGGACCCAAGCTCCCAGCCCCGGTCACTTCTATATTGGTGGGAGGTGAGTGCTATACCCCCTAGGTCCTGGACCCCTTCATCACTAGCCAGGGGGAGGTGGAATGACCCCAGGGACAATAGAGTTCTGTGCACATACCAGAGCAACCAGAGGAGTGATGCAGTGTGGGATGCCTGGAGGACCAACCAGATCCCACCCAAGCTTTGTAGGGACTGAATAGGGATGATCTCTACAGATCCCAGGAGTCCTGGACCCCAGCCCTATACTTACCCCCACCACAACACTCCTCGCCCTGTATCCACAAGTCACCCCCTTCCTGGCCATCCTGCCTCACATCTGTGAGCTGCCCCGGGCAGGGAAAGATCTCCAACACCTACTCCCATACAAAGTACTGTACAGACTCTAGGGGCAGTTATCCTGGGTAATTCCCAAATGGGTGCTCCCCCTGCCAGTGATAATCTGGGTTAGCGGTGTGTCAATTTGCCAAACTGGTCATGTATCTGCTCCTTACCCTGGTATAAATTTCTCCGGGAGTTTAATCTGGAGTAAATCACTCTGGATTAAAATTCTACACCACAGTCCCACAGCCAGGTCCCAGCTGAGTGAGGCTGAGGGTACTGGGAGGCCACTGGTCATGCTCAACCCTCCTGCAGCCGGTGGGACAGGCTATGAGGGGCCAGTGGTGGGTAGTCCAGATGCTTCCCCCAACCCCTGGATGCAGGATGAGGTCCCTGGGCAAGGCTGGGGGCAGGGAGGAAGCAGAAGCTGCTCTGAAGAGGGAGGGAAGGTCAGAGGGGCCGGGGGGAGGCATGGGGAAGTCTGGAGGGTCCCGAGCGCCTCGGGGGAAGTCAGGCCTGAGGGTGGGAAATGCCAGGGACTGAGGAATGGAGGTGACCTGGGGATTGCAGGCCCTTGTTGGTCTGCCCGGCCCTATACAGACCTCCCAGGCCAGGATTGGAGGGCACGGGGCAATCTCAGCCTGGGGGTCTGTACAGCACCAGGTTCCCCAAACCCAGCCAGGGTTGGGGAGGGGGTCTGTACAGCACCTGGTGCTTCCCAATCTCAGCCTGGGGAGTCTGTATAGTGCCTGGTGCCCCTTGATCTTGGCCTGAAGGGTTCGTACAGCACCCAGCACCCCCAAGTCCTGGCCTGGGGGCTCTGCGTAGTGCCCAGAGCTCCCCAGTCCTGGGCTGGGGGCATTTGCAGGGCAGAGTCGGCAGGGCAGGAGTTAAAGCAGTGCCTTCCTCTTTTGGCTGGTGTAAGAGAGGAAGAGCAGTGGGGTTGCACAAGCCTGGTGTGAGATACTGAGCCAGGACCCCTCCCGAGCCATGCAGCCCTCTAGCTACAGCCGCCATAGGGACCCCACCCTGGAGCTGTGCCAGGGCCGGTGGGTGCCCCGACCTGGCCACAGGCCAGGTGGGTATTTAGGGATGCCTGAGTTTCCTTGGTGCCCTGGGCACTGCTCATGCAGGGGTTTGGGGGGATGCTTGCTGAGCTTTTAAGGTGCATCCAAGTTCCCCCTGGGGAAACTGAGGCAGAGATGTGCCACAGGCTCCTTGGACAGCTTTGAGGATGAGGATGAGCAGGATTATGTGAATGTCCAGCCCAGCCATGCTCTACCCCAGCTGCAGCCGCAACCTCCACAGGGAGCCGAGGCCAAGCCAGGTGAGTCCTTTGTGCTCTGGGTGGGGTTCCTGGGGAGGATCCTAGTCCCCCCTGCTTTAACTACCAGATCCCACTCCATCCCCTAGTTGGGGAGAACCCAGGTGTCCTAGCTCTCAGCCACGCCACCCCCATTCTAGCCACTGGATACCACCCTCCAGCTGAGGTGGGAACCCAGGCATCCGGCCTCCTGAACCCTCTCCTGTCACCAGAACCCACTATGCTCCCCCTTCTTCAGCAGATCTGGGATAGAATGCAGGCCTCTGGGCTTCTAGCCCCTCCCCGCAGCTCTAACCTTTAGATCCTAATCCTTGAGCAGAGCTGGCATACAACCCCGGTGCCCTGGCTTGCAACCTCTCCTCCACCTACTTTAGTAGACCCAAACCCAGGATCCCAACTCCCTTCCACCCACCAGACCCCGCTTCCCTAGCAGAGCTGGTGTAGAACCCAGGCATCTGGGCTCCCAGGCCTTCCCCACACTAGACTGCCCACTCCTCTGCACCACTGGCATCAAACCCAGGCGTCCGGGCTCCAAGCCTCCACCCAGCTCCTGTTCCCAGTCCAGGTCACTGGCTTCCCCTGACCCCCCACCACACCTGGTACTGTTGGTTGCAGTGACCGCACCAGCACCAGGAGCTGCACGTGGAGGCTGCGGGAGGCGCCCAGCCATGCTCTGGGCCCTGTTAGGCCTCGCCCTGCTGCTCTCAGCGGTCGCCTTCATCCTGAGCCTCCTCAAGTGTGAGTGTGCCCCTGCCCGC